GCCACAAATATCCACCGGCCCCTGCCATCAGCTCCCGCGTCTCACACACACACGAGCGCGACTTTAGCACTAGATTTAGCAACTTTCAGACGCTTTTAGCGGATTTTTCCCATAGAATATATATACGGACAAACCTAGCGACTTTTTTGGATGAACCTTAGCTATGATTCAGTTGGAAGATGTCGCCAGTGCTGCCCCGGGAGCGCGAGGTCTGACTCTCCCGGCGCAGTGTCACCTCTCTCGGCGTCTGTTCTGTGCAGTGAGCGGCAGAGAAGCATCGCTTTCAGCTGGCCATACCACAGCCGACTCGTCAATAAATGAGTACAAACAGCGTTTCCAAGCACCTGTCGCTTACTGATTGTTTGGAATTATAAATATGAGCATAGTTCGTCTATTAATATAATGCAAAATGTATTTATTTATTTTTGTTTTGTTACTCAGACGCAGGCAGTGCGCTGCATGAGACAAAAAAGTAATATAGCCAAAAACACCGCATAGCTGCTCAACATTCATCTACTGTACATGCATGTTGATTTTATCAGATGATGTCGCGACATGTATAAATATACATAGGTTAACATGTATAAAGGGGTCGTATTTCGTCACTATTTAGAGTGGAATTTTTCTACAATATTCTCTCATCATGACAGTAAAATAGGGCATTCTAAGTCAATCTACTGCAGTAGCCTATTTCCTCTCTCAATCAGTAGAAAATGTGGTTTACACCCAGTCATGCATGAAAAAAAAATAATACCGTCATATACCGTGAAACCGGTATAATTTTGAAAAATACCGTGATATAAATTTTTGGTCATACCGCCCACCACTACTATAAGGCATTAAAGTGTTATATTTACAGTATGAAACAATGTGCATTGTGTTAAGCACTATACATATTATTATAATAATATGTACATACACCCAGTTCTTACCCCTATTGATGGAAAGTCGTGTTTGTTTATAGTTTTCAGAGCAACTTTTTTACAGGTTTCCTTTTCAATGGCAAGCTTGACTTCACCACAGACACCTCTGTCAGAAAACACAAACAGAGGTTTTTGGGCTGAGTACAATAAACTGCAAAAACAAATTTAATACAATTATCAAATAAAACAGGAAGCTCCTGGTAGTTGTCACTGTGGTAAGAAACGTCTGCTAGGACCATAAACGCAATCTAATGACGCTTAAGAGTACCTCGGTACATGATATTTTGAAGGTTTCTGAAAATCAAGTTCACTTACGTTCCAATCTTTCGTGCAATGTGATATTTTTTGCTGAACTCTAAAGGAAGGTTTGGTTGATCGTCCCCCATCTTATCTATGAACATAAAAACTGTGGAAAGAAAGAACCAATCAGAGTTCAGAGCCATAGTTTTTTTTTTCTTTGTCCTTTTTAGACCATGAAAGCCACTGGACACTTTACTGTATTCTTTCATTTTAATAAAAAATAGCCTCAGAATTATCATTTTCAGGTGATTTATTGTATGAACTTAAGTTTATATTTCATAAACCCCTGAAAAAAAAAAACTCACCTAAATGACTAACCTTGATGTTTTTGTTCTGCAAGGGCAATTACAGAGTTATTGCTAAGAAGTCTTTGCTTCACGTCTCCTATTTTCTCATCGTCCACCCACGTGCCGTTACCGCTGAGGTCCTCGATGTAGACGAGATTCTCATCCTGAAACAGAAGCAAAAGTAAAACTGTAAAAAGTAAAACAGGCCATATTATTTTAATTAAATGGGGCTCCTGATGAGTGAGACCTGATGCCATTGTAGAAATGCGCTTTTCACAGTCAGCCATAACTTTTTTAATGAGAAACAAAGTTACGAAACGAAAACATTTGATGAAAACAAGTTTAATAAACAGCTTCTCAATGTTGGTCTTACCCTGAAAATCTTAAAGTGCTTCTTGCTGTATGTCCTGAAATGTGTCGACTGTCTTACAATGGCGTTGTTAAAAGTGTAATCGCATGCGCTATCCCTTCCAAAGATATACTGGTTTTCTGTGCAATCTGGAAAATATAAAAAAGAAGCCATATTGAGTACTGTTATTGTTAAATAAAACTGTTAAAAATCATTTTCGTTAGTTGAAATAAACTTGAAATAAAAAGAAATGTTAGATGAAAACCTAAACTTACAAAACCTAAATAAAAATGAGAAATGTTGAAATAAAGTAAGTTTAAGCTGAAGTACTTAACTTAATTAAAGCTAAATAAATATAAAATACACAAGCACATAATATTATTACTAAAACTTTAGCTCAAATTAAAATGGAAACTAAAAATGCAAAAATAAAAGCTAATTCAAAATATGAATGAATACTATAATAGTAAATATTACTAAAACAACACTGGCCTTATTCCTGTTATACCATAATAGCTCAACAATCTCAGAACTGTTAAAGGAATGATCTATATTTTATGCAAGCTCTACTGACAGCATTTGTGGCATTATTGTCAATTTCAACTTAAATTATAAAATTTAACCTTTAAGAAAATAAAATAAATAAACAAAATGACCATTAGAGTAATGCATGTACATTGTGGCCAGTGTAAGGGTGTCTATAATCAGGCTAAAGTTTATTTTAAAGCACTTATGCTCTTTTAAAGGTGGGAATGCTTTGCTAAGAGGATAAACTTCTGTTTATTAAATACCGATAGTGTAGTTTGCACAAGGTAAAGAGTGTTTTATGAAAAGTTATGTCATAGCCTTATTGGAAGTCCTTGCACATATTGTGTCAGTTACTGGTTTTACATGTTCAAAACACTGAAACTATCTTGATATCAAAATTACATAATAAACGCTGTCAACAGCACTTAACTTATGCTGAACCCAGAACAGTCCATTATTAACATCTATTTGACTCTTACTATACATCGGGGTAGGGCTGCACGATAAATTGAAATGGAATCGAGATCGCGATATTACAGAACTGGCTTTTTTAACAAAATGTGCATGACAATCGCATTCGATTAATCGTGCAGCCCTACATAGGGGTCAGAAATGCAATCCATTTGGTCTATTATTGATACCACTCCTGTTCAAAAACCCTTGGGAAACTAAATATAACGCTTCATATGCAGGAATGGCCAGCAGAAGTAGTCAAATCGACTAAAACTCTCACATTACTCATTTTCTTCAATCAAGGAAGACAATACACTTAACTGAGCACACTCAATCCATGCACCAAGGGAATGACGCGGCCCCACACCTGAGGCTGGACTTCCTCCTCGTCTTCAGGAATAGACTGTAGTTCCTGGACCGGTACGGTATCTACAGAACTTAGAGTGCCTGAGCCTGAGGAAGAGCCCTGGCTTGATGATGTTGGGGCGGATGAGGAGCTGGATCCAGGCTGTGATTGTGTTTGGGACTGGGTCTGGGATTGGGACTGACCACTGGGTCCAGGTTCCTCAGACATGATGTTTTTACTCTGGAAGTACACATTGAAAAATTAACACAATGTCATCAACATCCAAACTTTTTTGAAATGGAATACCAGCTTAAAACTCACATAATTCTGCATGGTATATACACTATAATGATAAAAGTTTTAAAAAGAAGTATGCATGTTACATTGTTGCCTTCAACATGTTCCATGTGATTTCTAGTCAGTTGTGCAGGGAAAAATATATTTATAATTTCTGCCAATGAAATATTTTAGTTTCTAAACCTGCGCACTACAGAAACTGTCATGATTTTTTTAGGCGTAGAACTACGCTTTTAAAATATTCCTGATATTTCCAGGTTTCCATGACAGATAAGTGCACTGTAGTGTACACAGTACATAACATCACTACTATGCTATGTGTGCTATTTCAAACACTATTCCAGGTAATTTTGCAGTGCTTCGTAGCTTTAAAAGTGTTACTGTCTCATATATTATGTTTTCTATTTATATTCCATTTAACAGAGGACTTTTTAGGGGTTCAGTAAATCATAAGTTTTAATTGCATCATTTTGCACATAACTTTCCATTTGTTTTCTTCTGAATTTTGGGTGCAATAATGTCTAGCGTCTCATAGCTTCTATAACTTTGACCCTACAATCAAATCAAATCAAATGAATGAATGAATGGAAGACTAAATAAGATAATTTGAGTACAACGCGTGCATACAGCTGCACTTTCAGCGACCGACGAGGAAACTGTTGCTTATTTTATCAGAAATATTCATTGATAGAAAATCCACATGTACGCCAGACCATCTAATGGTGCTTTCCAATCTCCTATCCTAATGCATACCTTAATCAAGTCCTGTTTTTAAAAGCAGCAAACTCGGAGAAGCGGGTTATCAGGCCGCGTGAGCCGCTCATCAAATCTGCCGGGAAAAACCCACTCGTTTCCATCCATGAACTTCCCATAACATCATTCAGCCAATCAGAAGCCAGAGTAGAGGCTCACGGGTAAACGTAGTTTATAAAACATTCCACGTTAATTTCTTATAATTATTTTACACATTATGTTTTTTTTTTGTATCGTATTGTATTGTATTATTATTATTATTATTATTATTATTTTAGTTGAATACCAATTCTCAATATGTCTAGCACAGTGCCACAAAACATAAAATAAAGAGCACATACAAGCGTGGTAAATAGAATTTCTTTTTTTTTTAAATGCATTAAAATATAACAAATAAATAAGTGCAGTGACTTCCGTTGTAAAACAAACATAAAAAGGGTTTAAAAAGGTAGTGATTACCAACTTCTCAAAAAATTCTCAGTGCAAATTATGTATTTTATTTTTAATTACTATACAATGTGGAATTAAATTAAATGAATTATGTAGTAAAACTGTAGCTTTGATTTAATATTGTGTTTTACTTATTTAAAGCTCGCGCGCGCGCACACACACACACACACACACACACACACACTAATTCATTTATAACATCGTAAACATACAGTGTCTCATTCTAGTAATTACCGTCAATAATCACGGATAACCACAACCCAATAAATATAATACAATAAATTCAAACAAATACGTTGAAGTGTTTTAAAAATGCTAACTTTTATTTTGACAAAATTGTATTGACAGGAAGTAGCGCGCTAACATTCTATAAGCCTGCTTTCGTAATGTGGGTTAGCATGATAACGTTATACAGACTCCGGTTTTTGTCAATATCTCACGGATTTAAAAATGCAACCAAATTTATATCAAATGGACAACTTCTTAACGTCGTCTTACTTCCGTGTTTCGCTTCAGGAAGAGCTATCAGCTCTTACAGGAAAGATATTCATGGTGTTTCTCACCGTAAAGCAGTTAAAGGACACTTGACTCTGAACTCTTTCAGCACTGTCACAGTCAACAGACTCTGCTGGAAATGCGGATCTTCAGCTGAATTATTTTTCTGTCCGTCCTGTAATGTGATCCAGCCTCCTGATGACAAGACGAATTATTTCGACATCTTGAACTGGTGAGTTAACTGGTGGTAGGGTTTATATATCATTGTTGTAGTAATTAATGCATTCACGGATGTTATTCTGTGCCTCCTTGGTCCTGAGCTTATAAAAAGTTGCTTTCTTTACTTACTTTTATTTCTCAAAAGCTATAACATTGTTGTCACATATAATGTATATGATATAGCCTAGAAGTTGCTGTTACATGATCTTAGATAATCACACAGATAAAGGTTCACAACTGTACACTTCTTGGTTTCAGAAAGAAATGATTTTACAGCTCATGTTTTCAGTATATTTGAAATGTCATTGTATTTCAGCTTAAAGCAAACTGAATATGTTTGTCTCTCCTCAGTGAACAAACATTTTCTTTGGACACCCAGAAACTTCAGAAAAGATATGTGGAGCTGCAAAGAGCTGTCCATCCTGATAACTTCAGCCAGAAATCATTGGTAATGGACTATATTATACAAAATTTGTTATATTCCATACAGCCGTTCCACACTGCACTATGAATATTAAAAGTGGATGAGCATTTATTGCTTGGAGATACTGTAGGGATGCTATATATATATATACATACATATATAT